ATTATTGTACGGATATTTTTTCTGCAAAATGTTTTCTATTAATCTCGATTTAGCATTATAATAATTTTGAAGAAGATGTTAAAAAATCTTCTATATGGTTTTAAATTATTTTTCTTTTGTAAATCTTAAGCGCACGCGTACATGCGAACATCCGACAAGATCCAGATATGGCTGTATTTTTTCGTTATTTCCGTCCCTTTCCTTTATTCTTCGCTGCGGTATTTCTCGGACTTCCCTCGATCGCATGTCAAACTTCTCGACGAACTCGCTTATGCGAAGTTTTGGTTCGCAACAGTGATATCCATTCATTTTGTCGGTATTTTGATGCTTGAGGTAGAGAACGAAGGCAGAGAGCCAGAGAGTGGAGAGGAATCCGATAATCTCTTTAGCAGGGTGTCACGTAGGTGCTGCAGTTACGCGGCAAGTTTTTTCGTTTATCATGTACGAATCGGGAAGGCTTTCTTCCTTCCAAGCTCGACCGTGGGATCAAACAGGATTTCACAGACGAGGTGCGGTAACCGAATACACGCCGATCCCGAAGCCCGTCGAGAGAGGTGTGTTTCGGGTCTGAGAGAAGCATTTTTTTTCCAATCGATTTGCCGAAGAGACGAACCATTTCGCGTCCATAGCAGCGTTTTGTTGTACACTTCGCGATGATAGAACGATTGTGAGCCAAGTATTGCTAATCGCGTTATTCACATACTCGCACTTTTCGGCGAGAGCTTTTGAATTTGATGTATTTTCGGATCTTTATTTTTAATAACAATGTAGAAAAAATGCTAATTGTTATTAGAAGATACTTTATTTTAATTATTCATAAAATATAAGAAAAATAAATATTGGACAGATAAACAAAAATATTTTTTAAATGTTATATTTGGCAGGTAAATAAAATAAAGTATCTCAAACTAAAAATCAATATCTTTTATACACTCTTATTAAAAAAGATCCAAAACAAGATGAAATAAATATTCGTTAATTGATGAAGATTCAGAAATATAATATATTAAAATTAAATTATCAACAGCGTTTGGCTCACATATATACATTATTATATATTTGATAAGTTTTATGTTTAAACTGTAACAATTTCTAAAGTTTTAGACTTGCTGTGTGTCAGTTTAAACTGTTCAAATTATTTGACCACCTAAAATTTCCAAATACTAATATCAAAATATAAGAAAAAGTATTTAAATTTTCTCTTCCAATTTATTTAGATTTAATGCGCGAAGTAGTAACGCTGCGGCCGACATAAATGATTTCTCACGGTCGGCGGTTTCATAGTAGCCTGCTGCTTCTCTCTCACCGGTTGCACACGACAAATAGCGCTATCGGTCCTCGTGTTCATACTCGGAGCGTAAGAACCGCGGTATATTACTACTACGCAACACGAATGACTGTCACCTGGCTGTAGAAGTACCATAGAAGCGTCTTATCGCGCGCAGCGTGTTTTCTTTATCGCACAGGTAAACCCTAGGTACGCGTATCTCGTATTATTACGACCGTAGGAACTAGCGTTTGTATCATAGCGATGACCAATAATCGTAAGAAGACGATAGTACGTACGTGACGACGACGGGAAGAGAGGGAAATGGGTCACGCGCGTATACAATTACAAAACAACCAGATACCGCTGAGCGGCCTTTAAAAATGACGACGGCAATTTAAAAGCGTGTAAAACTTATACTCCATTCGATGGCGTAATCAGCCGGATATTTATATATAGATCGGTTTCTCATACATTTTCTAGACTTTGCCACAAAGAGTGGCATTTCTGCTACATGTTTGTAAAATAATAAAATATATTAAGTATCAATGTATTTACAAAAGGAACTATAATAATAAAACGCGCTCTACAAGCGCTTTATACATATTAGTTAATCGAATTTTTTACCAATTTATCAAAAAGTTATTTAATTTCTCTTACTTGTGGAATATTTTTGAAAATTTTATAAATTACACATTATCCACATCTCTTTATTAATTATCATTAAGAAAAATTTGAAGAAACCATTTTAAAACTTACACTGACATAGATTTAATGCCGACTCTCTTGTTGCAAAATGATTCATTGTTATATATGGCGTGATCAATAAAAATGGTTAATAACCGACATGTAATGAGAGCCACTTGCTCGTGGAAGGATATTCTTACACGGTGCACGAGACTCGTTCGATCCGTGAAGTATGTAGAGACGGCAATTCCTTGAAAGCCTTGAATATATTTACCCATGGACCAGGTCACTGTCTCAATACTCTCGCCATTCAACTAGAAATTCTCAACCTGTGGGAATCTCAGGTAGGCACGAAGGAGAAACTGACTGAAGTGAAACGTTTTTCCAAGATTTTCTTTAAGAATACACAGATTCTCGAGCGATGTTTGCCGACAATACTACCAAGATGTTCAAAAGCCTCAAATAAAAGAAACGAACAAGTGGCTTAAATTCTTACAGGTTTCTAGGAAATTTCGCATGATAGATAAATGCAGCAATAGTGATTGAGTGATAATATTGATCTTGTGGAATCTTTTCAAAAACAGATTGATGATGAAGAAGCAGCATGTATAACTATCTTTGACGAAACGTCGTACTATCTTCAAACTATCATCAAACATCATATACAAAATATATATAAAGATTCGTTACGTCGCGTGCGAGAAGGAGCAAATAGCAATGAAAAAGAAGAATGACGAAGTAGGAAAGAAAGAAGAACAAGAGAAGGAGAAGCGGTCACTGCAAAATGTCGGCGATCTCCGATGTCACACAGAGGACCGCCGGTATCCCTCTCGGAGAAGAAGAAGAGAGGCCAGCTCGTGTTTCGGTTTTCGGCTTTCCAAGAAATATTTTCATGTGTTCTTCGCGCGCGCGCGCGGTCTCCTTGTTCCCCGTCTCTTTCCTTTTCCTTCTTCTCGTGTCCTTCCTGTTCTATCGACGCAGATTCGACGCACTGCATCTTCGGGGGTGGATGCAATGCAGCACGGCTCGTGAGACCCGGAGGGACAAATATCCAATGACCGAGGATCCTCGACGCGGTAGGTTCGAGACTGAAGGAAAAATACGTCCGCGCTTGCCAACCGCGGATTATGAGTGCTTTCGAGCGGTGTGCTTTCAAGTGCTTTCTCGAATTTACTGCCGTAAAATCGCGCATATTAGAATGACAGCTCTAATAACGAGAAAGCGGATCTAACGAGTCGAGAGGCCAAATTTATGGCAAGAAGGCTCTTGTATTTTTAAGTATTTTTGAGAATTTTTCCGGCAAAACTGTCATTACAAGAGCACCAAAAAAAAATTATTTATCAGTTTAACTAAGCAGTTGCTCAGCATGAAATCTTCTAACAATGAAATACGGTGATGAAAATAATCCTCAATATTAGTATTAAGAAGATTATTGAAATATTACAAATTGTTAGTACTTTTTTAAAAAGTTCAAATTATTGTTTGCTTAATAGTTTAAATGGCTAGTCAATATTATTTCTAAGAAATTAGCTAAAAATATATCAATTTTTCCATCAAATTTTCAAAAAACAGTTTGTTTCCAATGAATATTGTCAAAGCTTAGCTGTATTTTTTTAAGTTAAAAGCTATTGACAAACATAATAAACATTTTATTTATTTATTTTAAAAAATGCGGTTGATCCAAGACAACCTCGGTTACTTGCGGACAATAAGACCGAGCTAACTCGCACGCAAATCCTAGGAGAATGTATTCAAGACGTACAAAGACTATTACGCGTTCCTGAGCGTATTCTTCCAATTCTGCGAAAGGCAGCCGCGATGTTTCCATATACAATGTCTCACCGAAGCACAAAGCTCTTGTTTGCCGGTTCTGCACGTGATTGACTAACTCTAGTCGACGTATCTAACGTACCTTGCACCTTGCTGAATAACTTTGTCTATAGAGACGCGCACACAGAGCAAATTAAATCCCGTTCTACGAAGCACATCGTTTTAAACGCAGCTACCGCTTTTTCTAAAGTTCAGCTTTAGAAAAACGCCCGGTATTATATCCGCAGAATATTAAATCTATATTAGTGTAATATAACCAAAGCTGGGAGAGAGAACAGAGAGGGAGCAGCAGGGGAACATCCGGGGAGGTTTTAAAGAGACTGCGAGTGATTTCACAAAAAACTTAATTTTTTGAACGCTACTTGTTAATCGTACAATGTTCTCTTAGTGATAAGAGAACTAATAGCCAATTAGAGATAATTGTTGCCATTGGCAAAGATAGTATTGTAGAAAAGATCCTAGCAAACACCAACCAACTATAACAATAGTATCAATGTTATAATTTCTCATTCAACAACGTTACTGCAATATAACATGTTTTGCACGTAACTATTATATTGTTGAATTGGAAAAATTATAACATTGATGTTATATTACTGTAGTTAGTGTTTGCTGGGATAAAATATCAAAAATTATTCCGTTCGCATATGAATTGTTATCTACTGTATTCTTTTGTTTAAACAAGATTTAAACAGTTCCTATTTCAATTAACATTATTGATGTCGCTTTTGTCGATATTTTGTTTGTTCGCATTATTTCTAATTTGGAAAATTTTATGTTAACTCACCGTTTTCTGCTATCTTGCCGCTGCAATTGTCGTCTGATCGCCATCGTACTAGCCTCTCAGCACCGCATTATGAATCCACCGTCGGATGATCCCTATTTAAACAGACAGAAGATATAATTATACTTTAATTTTTACAGAAATAGATATTTTATGATATAAAGTTTCATATGTACTCATTACTTGTGCTTTTCTGATTCTATTTTTCTTTCACAGCTTAAATTTTCACAATTACACAGAATTAAAACCGCGGCGTGTAAAAAAGACTCGTTTCAAGTGAATATGTTCATTTATTCTATAATTTATTATTCGAGAATCGCAAGTTGCGAGAATCGCAAGTTACGAGAATCGCAATATCGCAGGAATCGATAGTATGTTGCGAGTTTATGATTGGCTGACACATCGGCCATCTGACGACGGCTAAACACAGTTCTGCGTCTACTTCATGTCAGTTTGTACCTGCTAACATAACCTAATCTTTATGTTGTAGTCTAAACTTAAAATAATTTTTAAAAAATAACACAGATTTTAAAGTTTAATCGCACACAAAGTTAAAGTCACAAAATGTCGGAGCGTAAAGTATTGAATGTAAGTACAAAATTTAAAGTAGACAATTACTTTTTACAATATGTTCATCTATTGATGTGTTCTAACATTTTACATCTTACTTTTTTGTATTTTAGAAATATTATCCGCCGGATTTCGATCCGTCGAAAATCCCGCGTATGAAATTGGCAAGAAATCGCCAGTATACTGTGCGATTGATGGCACCATTCAATATGCGGTGTAAAACATGTGGTGAATATATCTACAAGGGCAAGAAATTTAATGCACGTAAGGAGGATGTTGAGGGCGATGATTATCTGGGCATACGCATTTATAGATTTTACATTAAGTGCACTCGGTGCTTGCAAGAGATATCCTTCAAAACCGATCCGAAAAATACAGATTATGAGATTGAAGCAGGTGCTACGAGAAATTTTATGGCATTAAAGCTAGCTGAGGAGCAAGCACAGAGAGAGGAAGATGAAGAAAAGGAAGAAGAAGCTACTAATCCAATGAAGCTTTTGGAAAAGAGAACTCTTCAGTCAAAGCAGGAACTGGAATTGCTAGAGTCTTTGGAAGAATTGAAAGATTTAAATCGCAGGCAACAGACTATAGATTATGACCAAATGTTAGAACAATTTGATACAGATGGTGCTAAGCAAAGAACAGAAAAAGAACAAGAAGAATTGGATGAGCAATACATTAAATCTGTATTTGGTAAAAAGCAACCAACTAGGACAGTTGTGGAGGAGGAAATTGAGGAAATTGAGGAAATTGAAGAAATAGAAGAAGACGAAGAAAATGATGAACCCCTTAAAAAAATACCTAAAACAGATGAAGCAAATGACAAAGAAACAGTGAGTTTATCTTGAATTTAATAAATTGCATTTACTTCTCATTACAGAGAATATTTAATCATAAACATCAAAATTAATAAATAAAATTACTATTTGTTTATAGGAAAATGTTGGACATTCCGGAAAACCTGGAAAAGCATCATTGTGGTCAGACAATGCAGGATTATTCCCCAACAAGAAGAATTCATCAATTTTGGTGAAGAAAAGCAATATCGGTATAAAAATAAATGCAAAGCCATTGCAGAATAAAACATTAGCGTCCGAAAGCGCAATTTCTGATAAAGAAACAGTCTCACAATCAGAAACAAATAACACTTCGACGATTACTTCGAATACAACAGGCACTAAATCGAATAACGTAGGTAATAGTCTCTCACTACTAGGTGCATATTCAGGCAGTAGTGATGACGATAGCAGTTAATAATACATAGACTAATATATTTCTGGAATGTACATATTTTTATTCAAGAAAATAAAATTGTCGTATATAAAATAAACAAGATATATAAATAATGCATTTATAAATACATATTTCATTAAATACATTCGTACAATTACGTGAAACTCGAA